GAGGAGGAGGACGAGGAGGAGGCGATGGAGGACGAAAAGCTGGCGGCGGACTCGCGGCGGAAAGGGGGATGGAAACTCGGGAAGGAGTGCGAGAGACCAACCCGGCCAGGAACGTCCTCCTCTCCCTCGCCGACGCGCCGCTACTTGCACTTTTCTTCGCAGAAAAAATATCGAGCACCCCGGATAAACGGTTGCGGATGAATCGGCCGCCGATGGGCTGACTGCTTTCTTATATACCTTTTCGGCTATAAATAACGCGGGGTCTTTGGATGTTTTATAGGCGAGAGATCGAAACGACGGTAAAACGATCGCCGTAGGAACCCCTGACGGACGCGGCCATTGTAGATTACTTTCCATGAGTAATTTGAGTGTGCACCTTTGCCGAATGTGTAACGATCGTTTTTGAAGTTAGGTTCACGACTGATCAGATTTCGTTTGTTAAAGATTTTTATTATTGTTTGAAATCTCGGCTGGGGCACTGGGCTTTTGCGTATCGCAGTGTTTATGTTGCAAGGCAGTGAGTTTTTTCTGTTGCGCAGTAAAGTTTGAAAATTTGTATTATTTTGTAGAGTTTTATGATACCTTGTGAAGTACTTTACGATCGGCAATAATGTTTTGCTTTTTATAGTACTAATTGGTTAATAAAAAGTCCGACTGAATGCTGACTTCTTATTGTTACCGTTAACACGTCACCAATGACTGAAGCTTCCGAATTGCTGAAGAAAAATCACAATAAAAATCTTGATTTTAAATAGAAATATTTAGTAACATAAGTAGCTAGATCATGGCGTAATATGACTACTGTGGTGCTAAGACATTAATAATTATTTCAATATCATTTGCCTTTGTCATTAACCCTTTGCACTCCAAAGTTTTTCACTTGAAATATTCTGCACTTTCTAATTAGATGTAGACAAGATTCTTTAAAATGAATTTAACAAGAAATCATACCATAAATTAAGTAACAAAGCTATTTTCTTCCAATATTTCACGTACTGATGCAGTATACGGAGGTTAATAGTAAATACCAAAGTTTATAAATTCTACTGTATCAAATCATCTGGCGACTGGAAGTCACCTCTCGAGTAAAGGGTTAAAGAATAAGCATTACCATTCAAAACGCTAGAAGTTCTCGCAGCGATTAACATGTTAACTCATTGCGTACTGGTAACGAGAAATTTCGTTTTTCTATAAAGACACTTAGCTGTACAACTTTGCTATTTACCACAGCATTTAAAAAAATATTAAATTTCATTCGAATTGATTATCTATTTAAAATATATTACATAACAATATGATATCTGAATTTTTGTATATATAGTCATATAAGTTGATCTCATTGAAAATTGCCATCTGCACAATTCAGCTTTCTGAAAATTAGTCGGTACGCAATGTGTTAATGGCGATTAGTAAAATGCTAGAACGCGTGGCACAAAAGTGAACAAGGATTTTCGACCGACGCAATTTTCAACGGTCCCAAAACAAACGGTGTACCGGCGAATGAGTTATCCCGTGTGCACGAATTACGAAATATAGGTTACCGATCGGTCGCCGCCGAAGTGCCGAAGCTGCGGACCGTTCAAAAGTGATCCGAGCTTTCCGTTCGATTCAGCCGACGACGGTGTGCACACACTCTGAATACGTAACGTGGCCGCCACGGCAGTGTAAGATATTCATGATCGATAAAAACGTGTAGGGGACAGTTGCTTGTATCGCACTGCGATATTTGATCGATATTATGCAATCTCCGTCGTTCTTTTCTTTTTTAAATATTACAGTAGCAAAAACGTGTATTCCGGTACATCGGAATATTAATCCACCCGTGTATTCCACGTAGACAGGATGTTTTTTCTAACTTCCGTGTCTTTTAACCAGTGCATGGCGAGTATACTCGTCTATCATTGTCAATCTATGAAATATGTATATAAAGCTACTCCGAGAAGAATATGTACGCAGTATACAATTTAGATATACACTTTCAATTGCTCATTATATAACATACTTCAATAATTAACAGTTCGACTGCCACGGCGGTCACCGATGACTGGAGCTTTCAAATTACAAGAAAATTATTACGACTTGGAAAATAATTGATTTCAAATACAAATTCTCCGTAACGTGTATAATTAGATGAAGGATAATATAAGAATTTTCATATCAAAGAATTGACCCTTTGCACTCGAGAGGTGACTCTCAGTCACCATTTGCTTTGATATACCAAAATTATGAAGTCTTATACACAATATTGAGCTTCGTGTAATCCATAAATATGTGGAGTATTAAAATAATTACTTTGTTTCTTAATTTATGTATATTCTCTCATTAAGTTCGTTTCAAAGAACGTCGTCTATAATTCATTGAAAAACGTTGAATATTTCTAATGAAGGATTTCGGACTGCAAAGGGTTAATAATTCTTGCTTTGCATCTTTGCTACAGAAAGTACAAAGTGACACATGAAACGCTGATGTTTTTCGTGGCAGTCAACCTGTTAATATACTACAAAAATTAGGTGAAAATTCTCGTGGCGATCAACGCGTTAGACAATAATTCTATAAACAAAACAATGACAAATTCCTCTTGCCCCACTCCCGCGAGCGGCCACGTCTTCCGCGAGTGTCGCAACACGCATTTGAGCGGCGGCGTAGTGTCGGGACTCTCCCCTAATGCTCGCACGGATAGAAATGTAACCACATCGCTCGAGGTCTCGGAGCGAGTTCGGTGTGACGCGTATGCCCGGGGGTAAGAGGGAGGCGACTAGAACAAGAGAGAAAGGAAACGGGGAGGGGGGCAAAAAGAATAAGAGCGGAAAGGTGTACGCGGGACTAAGAAAGAGAGAGTGAACGGAACAGGGAAAGAAAGGGAACGAAAAGAAAGAAAGAACGAGAGACAGACAGCTAGAGCTTGCGCCGTCACTGTCGAGCTTAGGAGTCAAGTTCTAGTGCACGGCCGAAACGGGAGAATCGACCTCCCCTCCCAGAGTTCCCCACCGCCGGTCCAGGCTGGCTCGTCCAATGGCGAGTTGGTGAGGGAAAGTGACGCTGGTGGGGACAACGGAGCACCAGTCGAGGGGCGAGAGGAGGTGTGCAATGTCAGGCGTGCGCGGGGCGGCCTGTGCACGAGGATTCTACTAGGTGACCGAAATATACACCACGGCTAGGGATGCATGCTCCGATACCGTGAAGGTATCGATGCTTTTGCACGCTACTCGCATGGAAGGGAGTATGTTTCTTTAGCGTTGAGACGAGAGTATTGATACTTGCAGCGAGTTAAAATTAAGACGTGCTCGAAAGAAATATTTTTCGAGTTTTGACAGTGTTTATGGTATGCTTCGAGGGAAGGACATTTGGATCGTTGGAAATTTAACAAATAACGAACCATA